TTTGAGAGGTTTTTGCTATAGGGGGGTGTATGCTTGCCAGAAAGACAAAGAGACAGAAAGCAAGAAATGACCCCCAGGGAGACTGCCACACCGCAATCCTTTCTCCTCCATTCTCCTCTTGGGATCTTGGGCACACATGCACATGCACCCAACATGAGTTTTAGCCACCGGTTCGGGGACTCGAACTATGATCAGCTACATGGAAATCCAACAACATAGTCATTATGCCAGCTGATGGTCCCTCATGTGTTTTTAATTTGTGAAAATCATCTCAATCAGGGCCAGTGGATGGCGTGATGGTTAAGTCTCTGGACTCCCACATAATCGACCGTGGTTCAGGTCCTGGACCTGGCAGCTTACTTTCTCTCTCTGGTGAGAGCAAATAATAATAATAATAATAACAAATAAATAAAACAAATCATTATTAAAAATTATGTCATTCAAATCAGGCACAGTGGTCCACTCCTATAATCCTAGCTACTTAGGAGGCTAAGGCAGGATGATTATGAGTTCAAGACCAACCTGGGCAGCACAGCTAGACTCTTGTCTCTTTTAGGGAAGCAAAACAGTAATATCAGTATGTGCCTATGATGCGGTTAGAATGAGTCTTTGTCCATGTGATTATGTCCCACCAAGAAGCAGAATCTACCTGTCTTAGAGGACATTCTGTATGTTCCGTTCCACCTGATACTCTGTATGATGGACTTTTGTTATAGGCAGGAGATCTTTCCTTCACCTTCTTTCCTTTTAGGTATGTCCTACATCCACATGAGACTTTGTGACCCGTGGCCTCTTGGATGAGAGCCCTGACTATGGCCACAAAAGTCTCTTATGTGGAGTGTCTGGCCATCTAGTAAAAGCCTCTTCAGAGTTAAATAACTGAAGGGGAGTACGTTAAACTTGGTGCTTTGCTAGACCCATGACTTCATTCCCTCATAGCTTAATCTTATACTGTGCAGACCCGGATTTGAGACGAACACAGTGTCGTGGTACCACCTACACTGCCATTTATTTCATTGATTTGGATGGCCTCTGTTGCTCTTGGCTGTGGACCCGCAAAAACAAAACCATGGGATAAAGCAGCCCAAATCATGTAATGAAAACCTTGCACCTTTTTGGAGGCCTGGTAGAAAGAAATGATTTATTTTTTTCCCTACCAAATAAAACATTCTAGGAATCCAAGGTGAAAATTGGATTTTAACTGCTACTAACAGTTTGAGCGGATAAAATCAGCAAGTGTTGAGTGTTTTGCTTGATTAAGAGAAGAACCTAAAGAGTCTGGTACAAGAATGATCTGTGTATGCTGGGGCCTGGTGTCTTCCATAAATCTGATTTATAAAACTGCAAATAAACATTAAGCACACTTTGGCAGCCAGATTGCAACAGTGGAGACCTCTGTGTTTTAACATCATCATTTTGTTTCCAGCCTTATGCCTGGAGCATTGTTCCCCCTTTTTTCTTCCTTCCTTCATATTTCAGGTTTAAGCCCTCTATGATTAATTTCAGGAGTTTGGGAACTACCTGACTCCAGCCCAAAATAGGGGGCCTCTCTTCTCTCAGGAACCCATTTGTTTTCATGTTGATCCTCTCTCTCCAGCTCCCCTTTAATCTCCATTTGTGTGTTGCTCTGTCTCCCTCACTGCCTACCTACCTCTTGAATGCCTTGTTTTATCCGATTCACAGCAGGTAGTAAAATACCTGGCCGAATGCTCTGTCTCTTGCAAACTTCCACAAGCCAGTGTATTCATCTCTGGCATAAAATAGTTTCTCAGTAAAAGTTTATCCAGTTGCAGAGATTCCTTTATTTCATTTTTTTAAAGGTTTATCTCTTTCTTCCATGGATGAGAGAAAGAGGGGGACAGGCACCCCCAAGAGGGTTCTCACATCATGATCCACCCTCAGTTCCAGCAGCCCTGGATCACCGGTGTATCCATGCCCAGTGTGTTCAGGAAGTTCTTTAATGTGAACCTGGAAGCCCCCTTGGTGGGTCAGTATCAGAGAATATAACGTGACTACTGTACCGCTATGTGACCCCAAGTTTCTTTCTCTCTCTCGAGGAAAGTGTATCATGTGTCTGCAAGAGGTACCTCCCGGGTTTATGAGAGGTGATCCTTGGGCATTTATCAGTGCTTTCTCCAGAATCATGTATTCTTTCAGGTTCATCTTTAAAAAAAAAAAAAAAAAAAAAGATTATTTTTGTATGGCCACTTTTACCTAACTCAACATGGCTTTAACATCAGCTTTTATCTCAGGGAAATTCATTTTATCCTAAAGAGTATTTCTTTTTTTTGGGAGAGGTTTTTGCTATAGGGCGCGTGCACTCGCCAGACAGACAGACAGAGAAAGAGACAGACAGAAAGTGAAAAATCACCCCCCAGGGGGGATGGTCATGCCGCAATCCCTTCTCTCCATTCTCCTCTTGGGATCTTGGGCACGCACGCACACGCGCCCGGCGTGAGTTTTAAGCCACCGGGTCCAGGACGTGAACTGCGGTCGACTACGTGGGAGTCCAGCGACATAGCCATTACGCTAACTGCTGGTTCCCCTAAAGAGTATTTCTTGTGTGGCATCTAGTACTTCTGAATGAGCAATTAGACCAATGGTGTAATTGACCAAGTGCTGACCAGTCTGTTCCACTTCCATTCCTTTTACTCTCTGGAGAATCCAGCAAACAGCAGGGGTCTCAAATGGGACACCTGGAACAGGGAGCTTTTATCTATGGGGTGTTCATAATGATAAATGACAATAGTAATGATAGCCAAGGTCTTACCTGTGTGTGTCAGACATGATGCTTAGCATTATCTATGCTATTTTCTTTTTTCACTTTTCAGGGCCCTATAGGAAAGATACTATTATGTGCACTATGCTACAGATAAGAAAATTAGTCCAGGATAATGCATGCAAGAAGTCTCGGAGCTGAATTTATACTCAGGCCTCTCTAACTCATGAATCGCAATTTTTTTAATCACTATCACATGCTCCTTTTGAAGAGTCCTCAGTATTCTGTTGAAATCATTAAAAACCATAAATGACTAAGGACATCAAAGTTATGATGTAATTAAAACTTCATTAACTGTTCAGGGCCTTCTCGGGTTTCATGTTTTACAATTTGGAACATAGTCACTGAGAACCTCCATCATTATGCAGTGAGCCTGGATGGGGCAGGAAAGAAACGCTGCCCCTGGAGGCCTGCCTGGTGACCGGCGTCTGCTTCCTGCTGCCCTTCTGAGGCTCACCACCTGCCTTGACTTTGTCATCGCTCTCTGCTTGCTAGTCTGGGCGTGTATGTTCATTTCTGTTGGTTTTCACATAGCCGTCGTTTGCCTGGAAGGACTACACCTAGCTTGTTCTTGATGTTCATTCTTTCTTGCGTTTATTCATTAGGCGTTTAGTGAGCATTTGCAGTGTGTACTGTGTATTGGTATATAAAATAAATAAGACCCATATGCATTTAATTAAAATGCATAGCAGAGACAGTGGGATTGTGTAGAGAGCACTGCAGAGCAGAGAGGAACGCACTGGAACTGAGACAGGGTTCTTCATAGTGACAGATCTTTAGAGTAATAAGGTTTGGATAAAGTTCTCTCAAGGGAAAGAAAATAGCTTTGGAAGGACACAGTTTGTTAGAAAATAAAGCTGAACATGAAGACTCCTTTGGTGTGTCTGAAGGATATATTGAGAAGTAGAGGGGGGACAAGATTGCCTGCGATGGGACGACGAAGGATTCCTTTTTTTTTTCTTTCTTTTCTTTTATGCAAGGAGAAGGAAGTTTATTAAGTAAAAGTAAAAGTACACTCCTGAGAGGTAGGAGCGGGCCTGAGCAGACAAAGAGTGGTTAAAAAGGCCCCAGCAGTTGTATTCTGCCAGATTTATAATTTTTAACTGAGGTCATGTGGGTTGATCATTGGCTGGGCCCATTGATTGTTCTCATCTTATTGGCCCTATCACATGTGACTGGGATCTTGTAAATTATGCTAGGGAGTACTGTGTAACTTTCAGTCCATAAAGAGTCACTGAAGGCCTTATGAGTACAGTAGGGTGATCGGATGTGTTTTTGCAAAGATGAGTCTGAAATCTGTTGGGATTTTCTGGAGGTTGAGGCAGAAGGCAGAATGACCCTCTGGGTGCTCTGCACAAAGATATGGAGTATAGACTTTGATTCCCCATGCCCTCTACAGCAGGCATGGAGAGTCAGATAGCCTGTGTGCCCTTCTCCACCCTATCAAGTTAGTCTTCAGACCCCTGCGTTGCTCTGCTTCTGCCTCCTGTGGTTGACCATAAGTCTCACTTCAACATTCGACAATGGCGTTTGCTCCTACAGCCTCAAAGCCTCACTATTCTGCCTGCTCAGGCTGGTTTTGCTTACACCTACCTGCACATTCCTAGCTTGGCTGACCTCCCTGGGTCAGACTGCTTGGCTGCCTGGAGGCTGTGTCTGCTAGAGCTGATGTGACTCAGCCAGTGATCATTCTCATAGTTTCCTCTCTCGTCCTGTCCCTGCTCAGGCCTTGGGGTTATAGAATGACAGGAAGCCTCCTGTAGGTGGGACCCCTGCCACATTCTCAAGCTTTATGCAGATGTCACACTTACAGTTCTGTTCCCTGATGATCCACAGGAGAGATGTGAACAGACAGTTATGACTAAAATTTAAAAATCTTACACTGATCTTTTAATTTGTGAGTTTCTTATTAAGAAAAAAAAATTAAGAGGCACTGGACACTTAAATTTATAGAGTGCTCTGTTCTGAGCAGGGACAGGTTTTCACGACTCAAAATGCCAGGGCGCTCATATTTGGAAATGTGCTTGTTCGTTTTTAGGGTTGTGTTGATTCTGTCCTGGAGTTTTGTTTCAGTTTTATAGAATTTTCTTCCCCACCCCCTCTTTAATTGTGTCGATAACAAGGGAACCGTTTTATAACGTGACTGTGAAGCACAGCAGTGCTCTAGAGTTGAGCATCCTGCACTCAGTTAACCTTCATATTTCACACCTAATCATTGCAGTGTGGCAAAGCGCTCCCTGGCCTTTCAAAGCAAGAGGACTGCTGTGGAACCGTGGGCACCTCCTGGGGCTTTAACAAATGCCAGAAGTGCCCCAAGAAGCCGTGTAAGTGACGTTTCCTTGTTCCTTTGCTGGTTAACATAGCATCTGTTTGAGTGTGATCTTTTAATGATGAGGCGTTAGACTTTCCAAGAACTCTCTTACTAAATTGTAGAACATAGAACATCAGATGCACTTCCCGAAACCTTGCACGTCTGATATTTTCCTGTCACTTCTGTTTTTCAATCTGCACAGTTCTCGTTGCCTTTCCCACTTGAATCACTTACGGGGATTAAAAAGTCTTTTAAGAGGCAGTGAACTCAAATAGGCTGCGTTGTCTCTGGAGAGGAGAAAACAAGATGTCTTTTAAAATAGTAAATACCTTGAACCCTATAAAAAGTTGGTGCAGTTGTTATTTCTTTGGTTAAGTCCCTTAAATGAAATTGGTATTAATATCCACAACTTAAGTTGTAGTTTTTAGCCTAGGTTTTTACATTTTATTCAAAGAAAAACTAAAATGGACAAATTTGCACATATGTAAAAGGTGAATTTATAATCACTAGGACATAATACTTTCTGTTTTATTTTCTGAGAAAATGACTTTGATGACTTTTGCTAACCATGACTTTTCTATTGTCACAGTCATCATTTGTATCACCCACACTTTTTGATTTGTTTTTAAAGTGTTTGCCGGAACCGTGTTGATATGAATAAATTCAGGCTTGCATGTTTCTATTACTCTCCTCTCAATAGTAGTTTATATGTTCAGTTTGGAGGCTAGCATTAACTCTGAATGACTTATTTCTAATAAATACATTTGAGAAAGACAGGGGTAATTTGTTTTAAGTTGAGCTTTCTTATATGTAACTCATCATGTTTCTGCCAAGGCATCAAGTGATCGTTTTCTTTCCTTCATTTCTTCCTTCCTTCCGTTTTAGCCATAGGGTGCATGCGCTTGATAGAGAGAAGGAAAGTGAGAAATCACTCCCCAGGGAACTGTGGCCACACCACAATCCCTTCTCCTTCATTCTGTCTCTAGATTTTGGTCACGCACCACGTGCAGCCAGTGTCATTTTCAAGCCGCTGGGATCAGGACTCGAACTGGGGTGGGCCATGTGGGAATCCATCACCCTAATTACTGTACCACCTGCAGGCCCCAAGTGATAGTTTTCTTGTCCATCTTCCCATATCTCATATAACTAAAGATTTTTATTTTTAAGTGAGAGGGTTTTTTTTGTTGTTGTTATTATTATTATTATTATTATGATTATTGCTATAAAGCACTTATGCTTGCCGGAGAGGCAGAGAGAAATAGAGAGACAGAAAGTAAGAAGTCACCCTCCAAGGGGAGATGGCTACACTGCAATCCATTCTCCTCCACTCTCTTCTCAGGATCTTGGGCACACACACACGTGCCCAGCATCAGTTTTAAGCCGCTAGGTCCAAGACTCGAACTGTGGTCAACTACATGGGAGTCCAGCAACGTAACCATTATACTATCTGCTGGTCCCAACTGAAGATTTTTATTTTATTTTTTAAAATTTTTTATGTTGTAAAGATTCCATGAATTGTTTCCGTTGGATAACTTTTACTCTTAAATATCTATTGATTTATTTGATATTCTCGACTGTCTTTCTTTTTTAAAAAATAATTATTTATTTAATTTACTCACATTTCTTTTATTTGGCCAGAGAGAGAAAGTGAAAAAGCAAGCCACCAGGTCCAGGACTCGAACCATGGTCAGGCATGTGTGAGTCCAGCACTTTAACTACCACACCACCTGCCAGCCCCTCAATCTCTTTTAAATGTCTCTGTTCAGTCTAGAATCTGCCATCTTAGAATTATCACTCCACAGCTCTTTCTCATAACCATCTGTCCTTCTACTAGCATACTAATTTGTTTTAAATAATTGACTCTCAATTGGACTCTCATCCCTGTCCCTCAAACTTATAGGTTCTCTAAATGCCTAAAGTTAATTTCATTTATTGGATTGTTGGAAAAGTCATGACTTATTTTTTTCTGTTTTTTTCTACGCATAAATGTGTCATGACTTTTCTGAAAACCCAATATTTTGTTAATACTGCTCTTCTTTTAGAGACCAATTTGTGGAAATGCCTTCTAAAATTTCTGACACTTAATGAGTTCTCTATTTTTAAAAAATTCACATAAATAAAGGCATTTCATACTGAGAGACTATCTCAGATAGACTTTCTAAGCTAATTTGATAATGATTTGCCATGTGAGTTTTCAGGAGGTAGGTTGTATGTAATGGTCCCTCCTCACTGGAAGATTCGTTTGCCTAGAATTATTTTGGCAGCCTGACCTAAGAGACATCTAGGATACATTTGGTATGATTTTAAAACCTGATGTTTGTGTTAGATTGACCTGAGTTTAGTTCTCAGCTCTGTCATTTGTCATTGAGTCATATGCATCATTAAACAGGAATCTAGGCCCAGCTGTGGAGGCACAGGCACCAGGGTGCCACTGCACAATACTGGAGCAGTATGGGATGGCCCTAGGTTTGGATCTGGGTGAACCTAAAGAGGCCAGGTACACTGTGGGTGCACCTCTGATCCTGGCTGGCTGGAAGGCTGGGGAGGAGAATTGTGGCATGGCAAGACCCTGTCAGGGTTGCCTGCCCAATCAATTAAAAAAAAAAAAACCTTATCAAAGAGCAGAAACAGGAATCTGTACTTAAAATGTTGAAAAAGCATTGTCTTTTTTTGTTTGTTTTTAAAGAGAGATTTTTGCTATAGGGTGCATGCACTTGCTGGAGAGAGAGAGAGGGAGAGAGACAGACAGATAGAGGGACAGAAAGTGAAAAGTCACTCCCCAGTGTGGGAGTTGGTCATGCTGAATCCCTTCTCCTCCATTCTTCCGTTGGGATTTTGGGCATGCACGCACACGTGCCCTGCGTGAGTTTCAAGGTGCTTGATCCAGAACTTGAACCGCAGTCGATCACGTGGGAGTCCAGCAGTGTAACCATTACACCACCATCTGCTGGTCTCACATCATCATTTTTTTTTTAATTGCCACGCACATGTTCCTGTAAGGGCTTGAGGTATGGTGATATATCCTCCACTATTTGGTCTAAGGGTTGAGGATGTTAGCTTCTTATAACTTTGTTTTGGAGCTATTTATGTGTCTCTAATACTTTCTTCATCCATCGTCTCTCTTTCTTTGGTTTTTCATTTATGCCCTCCCATCTTTGTATATCTTTTGCCTAACTGCTTCTCTTTCTTCCCTCTTCCAGATCCCAAAATAGCAAGAAGATGACAAATGTTAGGGATGAAGCGGCTCATAGAGCCTTTTCTTTTATTTTTTCTTCCATCCCTAACACTCAGTTCTGACCTTTTGTCATTTTTATCTAGAATTACGTCATCTGGGGATGCAGTTGCTTTATATGGTTTTGTTAGCTCTGTGTTTTAATCTTGATGATGATGTAAGTCAATTATGAAAGTACCAAGTTGTTGTGACTTTTCATGACATTTTGACAAATACCGAATTCGTATGTTGGCTCATTTCATGTATAAAATTGGAGAGATCGGCTTCATTTTGAGAAAGCAGTGTGGATCATGAATGAAGTAAACTAGTAACATGTCGACATTTATCCTTTCTGTGCTGTCTGAAATGACTCACTCTCAAGAAGCACACTCAGGGTCACATTCTTCCTATGTCATTTTAGAAACTTTCCTTTCCTCGGTTGGTGCTACTCTCTAAATCATACTCATTTTGGAAGAGAGCAGACTTTGCTTGGCTTAACGTGCTATGGTTTTGTGTTTGGTGCCTTTTTTTGTTTGTAGAAATTAGTTCAAATTTTAATTTCCAAGGGATTTTTATTCGATGTTCGAAGCTTTGTGTAACCACAACAGAAAGACCTTTCATTGTGGATCATTTTTGCTGTGAAAACTTAATTTTAAATCTGCAAATGATTTCATTAAATAGCTTGTAATCTGTTAAAAATGTGCTTAGCGTGAACAAGTCATTTGTCCTTTAAACATTTTTAGAAGAAAATTAGCACAGAAGGAGGACTTTCAGTAATCATGTGGTCTGGCTCTTTGCCTTGAGGTGGATGATCATTGAATTTCTGAAACAAGTTATTGTCTCTTTTGCCTTTGAAGCAATCACAGAGATCCCATAATCTCTGTAGGCAACCTGCTTTGGAGTGTCTTTGTTAGAGGAGACTAGACTAGACTTGAGGCTGAGGACTGAATGGGGTGATTCCCACCAGTATTTCCCCACTTTAAGTTCACCATTACAACTCTTAGTTTCTTCCTTTCTTTTATGAGAGTAAGAGGAAGACTAGTACTCTCAATGGGTACATGCCACGATCCTTCCCAGTCAACTGGGAATGGAGGTGCACACATCTGGCTTGTCAACCAAGGAACCGAATGCAGGATCTTCCATATGGAGCTGACATTGCTTGAGGAAAGCATTACCACCATGCTCAGAAGATAATGCATTTATCATCTTTTTTAGCCACTTAGAGAAAAAAAAAGGGGAGGGAGTGGAGGAGAGGGACGGGATTAATAAATCTTCACCCTGTTTCATTAGTGGTGATAGAAAAAGAGCATGTGTAGACAGCAAAATAATTTTACTTTTAAAAGAAAATTTCCACTTTTTCATCTTTCCTGCTTAACTCCTTATTGAGGTCCTCTTAGTTCTCTAGCAATCCAGTCTGTTTTGGTTACAGCCCACTTTCTATTGCACATTATCCTGTTCATAAATGAATTCTTTATTTCAGGAAATAGAATGATATTTGGTTAGTGTTTTTCCTTGTCAGACAGTGTGGTAGGCACTTTTTGTGCATTATTGTTAAACACCATGACAACTGTCAATAGGTATTAGTCCTCCCATTGTATAGAATTTCAATTTGAAATTCAGGAAGCTACTTCCCATGATCATAGCACTATTGATAGGCAGAGACACTATTTGAACCCACGCATGCCTGGTCCCCAGATCTATGCTGTATCCTCTATGTCAGGTGGTCTTTCAGGTCTCACTTTAGAGTTTCAGAACCTCAGCAAATAGGGTTTTGTTGGTAAGGTGGTGCCTGCAGCATGCATACCATTTGAGCTTTCAGAGTGAAGGACTGTACAACTAATCACAGCCTCCCTGCTGGTCTCCTAGTTTCTGGTCATCACCTTCCTATTCTGCTCAGGTTCCTAGCAGCAAGAATTATCTGATAACTAGGATACCTGAGCTTATAATTAAGGTGAGCATGTAATTTATAGTTTACACTGGCCCATTTCTGAGAGTCAAGTGCTGTTAATTAACTTTGCTGAAATAATAGACTTAACCTAGGACTGCCCTAGACAATGTTGTACAGTCACCTACCTGTAATAGGTTAAAAAATTCAAACCCTTGAGCACGTCACTGGGGAAGAATAAATAGATCCTTTGGGATAAACACATTTAATCACTGATTGACAGAAAGCAATCATAGGATTCTCTTAGTTACCGATAATTTCTTGGGACTGTATCTGTTGAATATGAATACTGAGAAATAAGCATACTGTGAAAGAATTGTTGATAAATACATTGGTTTTGGTATTTTGTGAATGAACAAGTAATGAGTGTTGCTGGGTCCAGGTGGGAAGGCTCTGGGTTCAGGTCCTGGGTCTACCTAAACACACTGGATGTACCTGACATCAGCCTGAGATCCCGGATGGATGTAAGGGAGGTGTTGACTGGGTTGGAGATCGCAGGGTGGTGAGACCCTGTCAGTGGTCCCTGTCTATCTGTTCTTCCCTTCTCAAAACAAATAAGCTTAAAAAAAAAAAATCACTCAAATGAACAAAATCTACTGATGCTATAAATGGCTTTGGTTATCATACATAGTAGTTTAGGATTGTAAGAACTTAAAACTAAGCATGTAATAAGACTTATTCTTTCCCTTGCAGCTTATCATGGATATAACCAAATGATGGAATGCCTACAAGGTTATAAACGGGTTAACAACACCTTTTGTCAAGGTAAGGTTAATTGAATTCATTGGTATGGACTCAACAGTTGTTTTGGCTTTTCTGAAACCTGAGTTGTTTTGCCACATGTTGCTCATTAGCCCAGCATGTGGCGGTCACACAGCGAACCACCTCGTGTGCACTCCATGTAACTAAGGAAATAGAGAAATTAACGTATGGCTGCTGGAGTTGCTTCACTACTGTTGATACTTTATTAACCCTTTTAACCTTCTATTACTTTTAGGTAAAATCCACAGGAGTTTGGATCATATTACAGAGTACTTTGTGATCTCCATATTGGTTGCTTCATCTCCCTGTGTTGGTGCATGCCTGCATGCACACACACACACACACACACACACACACACACACACACAAGCACGCATGTCCCTGGCACTTTCACTACTTTGCTGATGTGTGGCTGGGGACAGAGTTCCCCTTTCTCCTCTTATGAGCATATTGTTGGCCATCTAAAAATATTTGGGTATTAAATTTCAGAGTGAACACTTTTCTTAGGCAGTAGGAAAAGCTATTTTGCTAAATATGAAATGCCCTAGGTACTTTTTACTCAGTTTACTTTGAACAGAACAGTAGACTTGTATAAGCAGGAGGGGGGACCTCAGAGATACCTTAGCCTGGAGAGGTTAAGTGACTTTCCTGTGGCTGCATAGAGTTAAGCCTATATCTGAGGTTTTCCAGCACCTTGTTTAGTATCCCTACAAGTTATGAATTTTTGTCGTAGTTACTTTAAGGGATATCCTAGTAATGTTCCTAATTTCCCTTTACATGTAGGATGAAGGTGTTATTAGTAACTTTGAAAGTATTTGTACATTGAAATACACACAAAAACAAAGAGTCTTCCAGAATTCACTTGGACCAAAGCCATGTCAAGAACAAAGTACATGTCTTCTAACTTGTGTTCTGGGGTCTTGTACCCTTGACCAGCATGTGTTTTTAGGATAGAGTAGATTTAAAGTCATGTTGCAGAGTATAGATTAATCTTCTATTAAATGGTTCACGTTAGGCCACCTGGTGGCTCAATTGGTTCCAAACAACTGTAGTTCATGGCTAACCATGGGTTGGGATCACCAGGTCAGCATGAAAACATACTGGGAATTTTGTGCATGCTTTAAACCCTGATGAGCAGTAGAACTGTGGAGGGAACCCTGTAGAGGATATTCTTCCCACCTGCTCCTCCTTCTCTTGAGCTTACACAATTTCTATACCATGAATAAGACTTTAAGAACTCTACTATGAATAAAACCTAGAAATCTTCATTTCAAAAAAATATCTTCCTTGCCTGAGAATTTTCTCAAGTAAATTTCTGTTCCATAATGTATCTATGTAAACTTTATGATGATTTTTGCTGACTTAAATGAGTTTTCAGGACCAGCAGATGACATACTAGTTATGTCTCTGGACACCCACATAGTTGAGTGGACCTGGCAGCTTAAAACTCACACTGGGTACGTGTGTGTACATGTCCAAAATCCCCAGAGGAGATTGGAGAAGGGATTTCAATGTGGCCATCTCCCTGGGGGATGATTTCTTGCTCACTCTCTTTCTGGCTAGCACACACAGCTTATAGGAAAGAAAACAAACAAAAAAATCTCTCTCTCAAAAAAAAAAGAATTTTCTTTTGAAATGCACGTAAGTATACTATGTCATTAAAAGGTTATGTGTTGGGGTCAGCCTTTGGTCTGGTGGTTAAGGTGACTGTATTCCACATGACCAGTCATGCAGTTTGAGCCCCAGACCTGGTGGCTTGAAAAACACATCAGGTGCATGTGTGCTCAAAATCACAAAAGGAGGGATGAATAAAGGGATTACTGTTGACCATGCCCCATGAGGGTGCTTTCTCTCTCTCTCTCTCTCTTGCATGCATGTGCACATGCTATCTCGCAAATTAAACAAACAAATTTTCCCTTAAATCTTATAAGCCCTCATCATATGTGACAGGATAGGGAATGCTAGAATGAACTATTTCAAGGAGAAGGCATCCATGATGATTTTTGAGAAATATCTGCAAACCTTAGTAACATGGGAATAATGGATTAATGTACATTATTTTAGAATCAGTATAATTTAAGATATCATTAAATTAGATTAATGGATGAAACAATGAATAAATAGGTCAAATGTCTGAATAGATGGTTAAGTATATATTCCATAGTAAAACCAATGAATGTGGGGTTTAGGTGTTCAGCATTCATTGTTTTTTGGTTAATAATCAACCAAGCAGGTGAAGGGCCTGGAAACATGATTTTAGCCTGGGGAAGTGCAGACTGAATACAAATTAGTGGTTCCTTTAAACATGCCTTTAAATACTTGCACAGGGGCAAGTTGGTGGCATGGTGGTTAAGGCGGCTTGACTCCCATATGGCTGACTGGGTTTGAGCCTTATATCATGCCAGGCACATGTTCGTGCATGCCCCAAATACTAGGAGAATGGAGGAGAAGGGATTGTGATGTGGCCATCCTCCTTGGGGTGTATTTTCTTGTTTTCCCTCTCTCTGGCAAGGGCACACACCCTATGGCAAAAACCTAAAAAAAAAAATAAATAAAAATAAAAAGTTCTTGAAATCTCATATCATGAAAAATCTATGTATGGGTTTGAAAAAGTTTTTTCACCAAAATCAGCTAATACTTGCATTCCATTTTTTTGTGACTATTTTGAAGTCCCTTTGTACTCAGAAATAGTGTGATTGCAGATAACTAATTAGGAGAGAAGATAGGCCATCTGTTGTGAGAGCTTCTAAGTCAAAGCAATATCCATTTGGTTTTGTTAAATAAAAAGATGGTAGTTATTCAGTATATTTCTTCACTGACCAATTCAAGGTTCTCAGCAATTCATATTTATAAAAATACCACTTTAGAAGTGGAATAGAAGATTTCTAAGTGATCTCTTCCCATCTTACTTGGCAAAATAGAATAGAGAAGTCTTCAAAGAATTGCTTGAGTTTCTTTGAATTTTTTCTTTCTTGGTAAAGCTGAGTGACCTTTTATAAATTTTGTTCATTCTGAACATATCACATGGTTCCACCTCAGTCATTTCCACTGATGGTTGGTCAGTAACACCAAATCCTGGCTTACACTGGTCTCCAGAGAATGTTTACTAAGGAGTGTTACACTTTTTGGCAAAGAATTCTGGAGCAAAGTATCACAGAACATTCTATTTCATGCTGCCTCAAGAAGGCACCACTAAATTACCCTACAGAGAAGGTTGACTGAAAAGAACATGATTTCACTCAGTATCATGTATTAAAATTGCCATTGAGAGAAGAGCTTAACTTCACTCCCCTCGTGATATTACTGGTGAGTAAATTGAAATAGAACTTTCTCATATTGCGTAGGTATCCTCGGTTTTCCTAAAGCCTTGAAGCTTTTTGATTTTATTATCCCTAAGTTTTTTCAAAAAGAGCCCATTAAGCTTCTAATGACTTGTGCATTCCACATTGTTCTCACAGTCTAATGTCTTCTCAGTTTACAAAGTGTATTTAAAACTAAAGTGATGAATAACTAGAATTACATTATTTCCTTCAACTAAGTGAACTGATGTCCTGAAGCGACTTGTACTCATGTGAGCTCCGTAACAAAGACCCAACTGTGCACAAGTTAATTTGAGGAGCTTTCAAATAATTGCCCTCAAAATTGGGTTTTTTCCTTCTCTAGTGCCGCTGCAATTATCTTTTCAAAGGAATGATTTATTACATATACACATATGGAGCTCTAAAACCTGCCTCGCTACCCTCAACATTGTGGAATTGTTATAATTTGCTGCATTTATCATAACAAACAATATAATTGTATTTCCTTATGGGTCTAGAGCAGCATTCGTCAGCTGTCATTTGATTATTATGCTAAAGATTTGATGTAGAACTAGAATTAACTAATACTCGTGGAAATGAGAAGAACTCTTGTTCTCATGCCATTTTGTTCTAAAGCTCACTCCTCTGTGAGTACACTCTCCCTTGCCCAAAACTTGGTCCTAAGATAAGTACATTCTTAAAAAAGTTAGATGTTAATCTAAATTTCAGAAATAGAATTTGGTTCTGAAAGTACTTGGGATCAGTCCATTTAGTGAAACCTTTTATTGAAAGCAAGTATCTTTTTTTTATGTATTACAATCCTAGTCTTAAGTTTACAGATATAAAATGAACTTAGTATGATAGTCTATATTTATGGCATGTCCCGAGGTACTCTGAGCAATGCCAAATTATTTAATCAGGAGATGCCTACACTTTTGTAATGCCATATATGTTTTTTTTTTTTCAGAGATAGTCAAGGAAACCTTTTAAGTGATTCATTAGTCCACGAACATTAATTGAGAGGGCACCGCTGAGCTAAATAGACTGAGGATATGTGATGAAGGATGAGTAAGATATTGTTCCTGCCCTTCAAATTTACTGTAATCAAATCAGCTTGGATCTGCAGGATTCAATTTGCTTTATTCCCTCTCCCAGCTAGCTGGATTTTAGCTGACTCCAGATGCGCCTGTTAAAGGAAATATGAAAGAGCTGTCCACATAACTTTCTTTTGGCGTCATTTTATTACACTGGTTTTCCTGCTTTAATAAAATAAATTTACAAAACAGATCTATTAGGGCACAATAATATTCATTACCCAAACTTTCTCTGTAGGGCTCTTTTTTAGACAGGAAACTCTCCAAAGTACACCTGAAACGAAATTTTATTCAGACAAAATAATTTTTTTTTTTCAATTATTGAGACTAACCAGTCTTGATCAGTAAGCCACATAAGTAAGCAGTACACAGGGCATTTTGGCTATAAAGAGCTTGTCTGCTTGTCGCCTGCATTTTAGAACCCCTTACTGACTGCAAGAAGTATAGAGAGTGAACTGCAGTATGGTGAGCAGGTAGGGGGAGACTGCTCTTCTGAGTACCCTGGATATGCAGGAACTAGAAAGAGCAGGTGAGACCCAGGAGAAAGCCTGCATTGCTGGAGAACAGGACATGGCCCGCCGCAGAGTACTATGTTAAAAAGACAGGTAGG